GGCGTATGCCATTTCCGCCTTTTGGCCGTACGTTCACTTTTAGTATGGTTTCCACGCAATCCTGTATAAATGAGACCCCATTTCTGTTCACACAAAAACCTGTTCATCTCAGGAAAACAGAACCCATCTTCTTTCTGAGCGGTTTTGATAACAGGACCATGGTGTTTATAATTGTAAATAATTGTTTGAAAAGAAAAACATGGCTCCTTCACGAATTTGGAAATTGAACCAGAGTTATAAAAGTCAACAGTTCATTGGCTGGTTTCTTTTGATTCTCCTATGATGTTGAAGGGAATTCATGATCAATAAATGGAAGTGTGAATAGTAGTAGTAGTAGTAGTAGTAGTAGTAGTAGTAGTAGTAATAATAATAATAATAATAATAATAATAATAATAATAATAATAATATAGCAGAAAACCAATGGGATCTCTTCTAAAAAGGCTTTATTCTCATCTCTCCCCAATCAGCTCCAACTGCACACAGTTACAAAATGTCCTTCAGTGTCACACAAAGAAGCAGTGTGTTTGAGGTGTGACTGAAAATGCATCCACAGGTGTGTGTCCAGTTAACTCAAAAGTTGTGTTTTTTCAGGTTAGTTGTCTGTGGCAGCCATCTTGAATCAAGCTGACTCTGAAAACAGTGATTGTTTCCTGCAGCTTTCTTTAAAATTCATTCAGCATCTCATGAGACATTTTGGTAACAGTCAGAAACACAAATCTACTGTATCTATAAATCCTCACACAGACAGGCAAAAACAAATGGTCTTCATCCCAGAGCCTTTTAATTCATCTGCAACACTCTGAATTAAAGTCTGAATGTGAACCACACAACTGTAGGCAGCATAGTTGAACTGAACTTTGTAACTAAAACAGAAAAATATCACGTGATCTGTTCTGTGTTTGCAGGAAGCTGCAGTGAAGAACACGCCTTTGTTCCTTCGTTATCTGACTGACCAAATGCACGAGCGAGTGTCCGGCAGCCTGGTGCTGTGGTACGACAGCGTGATTGAGAGCGGAGAGCTCAAATGGCAGAATGAACTTAACCAGTCCAACAGGTCGAGTGACAAACATTTCATTCTGTCTATTCAGATATATAAGTGTGTTCTCTTTTGTTACTGGAAGGAAAAATACACAGCGGCCACTGAAATCTAACTCTTAAAAGAAAAAATATGTATTTCTGAAACTGGACAAAAAAGGATTGTACCCTTAACCTTTTGTTTTGTTTTGTTACACAACCTTTCAGTATCTCTCTCTGAGACTTCTGCACCTGTCCACAGGTGTTTTCTCCCATTCCTCATGAACAAACTGTTATAGGCGTCTGCAGTTTGAAGGGTTCCTTCTCCAGATGTTGCAGATTCATGTTTTGGGTCATGACCCGCGACTGAAAACAAGCATTCTGACTCTGGGCAGCACATTTCATCTGAATGCCTTGATAGTCTTGAGATTTCATTTTACCATGAACCAGATGCAGCAAAGCAGCACCAGAACAGAACCGAGCCGCCTCCATGTTTCACTGTAGGCACCGGGGACTGTTCTATACGTTTCATTTTTAGATCCGTGAACACGGAGCTGATGGGACTTGTTGCCAAAAAGCAGCAGTTTTTTCTCTTCTGTCCAAAGGACCTTCTTGCAGAATCTTTGTGACTTCTCAATATGCATTTTGGCAAATTCCAGTCTTGCTCAAAAAGTGACTGATAGGACCACAGACACAGATGTACCCTGACTCTGGAGTTCAGCTTGAGTCTTTTTGAAGAAATGATATGAACGTTAACCAAACCTCAGCCTGGGACAACTTCCAGTCCGTCATCAGTTTTCTTTGTGAACACGTCCAGGGAGGTTGTCTTCAATCCTGCGGACTTCAAACTTCTAAAAATCTGTTCAGATGCATTCACAGGAGCATCAAACTGTTTGGAGATGGTCTTATAGTCTTTACCTTTAACATGATGCCACGTGTTGTCTTTTTGTCTTGAGACCCTCTGTCCTCAGCTTTCTGTGCTCAGTGTGGTACCCACCATGACACCAAACAGCGCTGTGACTACCTGTCAGCCTTGAAACAGGCAGACTGACTGATTAGGTGTCTCTGTGGTCAAATTAGTTTCAATCTTTTCTTGGCATATCTTCCATTTTGTCAGGGCCAGTTTTATTAGGTGTTTTTAACATAAATATGTTGAAACAAAATCCAATACAATCACTGATTATCATTAGTTTTAGACATTTTTTATTTTCTTTTATTATTTTTGTCAGGTATTTTAATGAGCTTTTCATCCAACAAATACATCTGCATCTGTAGGAGAGCTTGTCTTTTTCTCAGAACCTAACTTCCAGTCTGGTTTGTTGAGCTGATGAATAAATATAATGGTACAAACATTACACTGACCTGTAAGGCCTCTTTAAGCCTTTTCAATCCTCCGCTGCAGAATATTTTTTGACGCCTGCGATGGATTCTTCACCAACTACAACTGGACAGTGGAGAACCTGGAGTGGATGAAGAACTACTCTGAGCTGCAAGGCCGCCAGGCGGATGTTTACGTCGGAGYTGACGTGTTTGCGAGAGGAAATGTGGTTGGAGGAAAGTTTGAAACCAATAAGGTAACTCGCCATAGCCACATCGTGCRGGGAGTTGTCAGTGAGAAATGTTACCTCTCAAGATGGTTCTGAYCGTCTGCAGGCTCTGGAAGCCATCAGAAATCACAACTTCTCTGCAGCCATCTTCGCTCCRGGCTGGGTGTACGAGACCCTCAGTGACAAGAGTGAATTCTGCCAGAATCAAAACAAGTGAGAGAAGCAGCCGGGTGTGGATGTAGGTCCAGAAATACACAGAGGCTACCATGCTTTGCTGTGCCCCTCAGGTTCTGGGCTCTTCTGGCAGATTACCTGTACGTCCACCGGCCAGCCTCACACCTGCCCTTCACCTCCTCCTTCTGCCTGGGCTTTGGGAAGGCGTTCTACTGGAGAGGACAGGTACTCACCCACTCATTTTACTAAAGTYGTTATCAGATCTGTAAATCAGACATTTGATCTAAACCAGGATTTTACAAACTGTGGGGCTCCAGTGGTATTAAGGGGAGGCGCCATGTGGGGATATATTACGTTCACACTGCAGGTGTGAATGTAATATTTTTCAGGCCAAAGTGGACCGCAACGTATTTATTGTGTGATGGGCGTCTGCCTCGTATTAAACAAAATAAACTTATTATAGTGATCCTGGTTCAATATTTGTTAAACTAACTACAAAGTTTCTGTTCTGTATCATCTTTAACAGTCCCTCAGTAATAAAACTGTTCTTTAATGCTGCAGTCGCACACTGACGTGTTCCTCGTGTGGAAAAAAGAGACTAAAGTAACTAATTTTAGCCGTTCTGTGGTTAAATATACTAACTGCTGTTTCCTGTAGTTTTTAATATTCCTCGGTAATAAATCTGTTGATTAATCCTGCAGTCCCTCACGCTGTTGACTGTCTTTATCGTATCAAACACACACACACACGCACACACACACACACACACACACACACACACACACACACACAAACAAACAGAAATTTACAGATTTTTAACAGTTCTATGGTTCGATATTTTTAAAACTAACTATAAAATTGTTGTTTTGTGTCATCTTTAATATTCCCTTGGTCATAAATCAGTTTGATTAATCCTGGGGTCGTTCACTGATGTCATCAGTTCATTAATAATAATAATAATAATTTTCTGAGCAGCAGGTTAGAGAGGGGCTTCAGAAGTGGGCTCACTCTGATGCCTTTCCTCCTTGGTGTTTTTTTCTGAAGGCTCAGAGGAGGACAGAACAGTGTCAGTCCATGCTGAGCTGTCTTATGAACGAGGCTTAGCGTTCAGAGTCACACACCTGATGAGTTGCATTGGGCCAAAAATAACCGTATTCGAGCCACATTTACCTGCAGTGTGAACGTAGTCTGAAAGAAAACAGGAACAGGGTTGTTGTAAAGTGATTAAAAACAATACTTTTTTATTTTAAAGCACAGATGTTTAAAAAGTGTAAAAGAAGAAAAATATGTTTTAAAATATGAACAGAACAGTAAGTGTGTGTATATATATATGGTGGGGTGGGGGCAATTGTTTGTTTGGTATCTCTGGGGGTCTTATGCTCGTATACTTTGAAAACCTCTGATCTAAACTTTACAACACAGAGCTTCAGCTCAGTCCATCCCATCTTTACTTCAAATACATCCTTCCTGTTCCTCTAAAAYCCTGGGCCCCCTAACAAAGAATCATCTGCACACACCTTGAACGAGTGAATATTGACAAGCTTTTATTTATAAATTTTGAGAAAAAACAAAGTTGTTGCCAGAGTAAATAACTGCAACTAAAATGACTTTTTTATAGATACTGAGCTAACGTTTGACGTGGGAGTACTTTGCAAAACTGGCCATCTAACCAAGTCTTTCAATCTTATATCCAGCCAAAAAAAAAATTCATGATCTTGTTTTGAGACTGATTTACTAAACAAGAGCAGAATGTGTAAGATTAATAATCTTGTTAGCTTGAAAATTTGACTCAAATTAAGCAAAATAATCTGCCAGTGGACTGCTGGATATGGGCACCAGTGACCCACGCAACCCTGAAAAGGAAGAAGCATGTACAGAAAATGGATGGATGGATGAATCTGCCAGTGGACTAAGATAAAAGCACTTGGTAAGATTCTAGAAATAAAGAAAATTTGAGTCAAATTAAGAGATTTAAAGAATCTTACCAAGTGCAATTGTCTTACTCCATTGGCAGATTCATTAATTTAATTTAATTTAATTTAATTTAATTTAATTTAATTTAATTTAATTTAATTTAATTTGTCAATTTATTCTTTTGCCTGGATATAAGACTTTATT